AATCGAGGAAGTGCTGGGCCCGGCGACAGCGGAGAAGGCACTGCGACGCTGCAGGGCGTGGACTGGTGGCGTAGGGGAGAGTGTTTGATCGTGGAGAGAGAGAGAGAGAGAGAGAGAGAGAGAAATTGGGGGAGGGAGGAGAGAGTTATGGCGTGAGACATTAGTCCGGACAGTGGCAGAGGGCATGACAGGCCAAATGACCCTTGTGAGGTCAGAGAGAGGATGCAATAGATTTAGGGGAAAAGTGTGTATGCGATAAAAATTTAAAATATAAGATGTTTTATTATATAGATTTAATGAATTTACGAAGATGGGGCGCAGCGGGGCAAGGATGAGGATCAATTCATTTCTACTTCATTTCTATTTCTATTTCTGCACAAATTTATATAAGTATTTTTTGTATATGTTTAACGTTTAATACGTATAATTTATTTTTGATTCAAACGCGACGAATTTAGACAAATACTCATTTTTCTCCAAATCACTCTCATCCCTGATGAGAATAAAATACAAAGAGGCCTCTTATATAAGAGGAATACTTCCCATAGAAATATGGAGGAATCGTAAATTTAGACGTCTTAAATTTGAAACTTTGCAACTTTCATGGGGCCAGATTATGTGGATAATTCCTTGTGAATTCTTTAGTTTTCACGTGCATGACTTGTCTTTGACTAAATCAGGGAGAGAATTAGTCAATGTGTGCGTAAGTTGGTCCGAAAACTCTGACTGTAATATCAAAAATAAAAAATAAAAATAATGCTCCTTCTATAATACTATTTGTACCTAAATTGATAATTTAAGTTAAAAATCTAATATATTATTTTTATTGAATTGATAGTTGATTTCATTTAATTCTAGGGCCCCTATTAATTATATATATGGTTTTTCCACATGCATTTGAGGAATCAATAAGAATTGACCCTTTGATTCCTAAATCAAAAGAATATTTAGGGAATTAAAAATTACCAATTCTGTTATGCCCCAGTTGATTAAGTCTTCTTGTCAACTGGGCATAATACTAAATTTAGGGGCCAAACAAAATCTTAATTTTGATCGAATTTGATTTCGGTCCTATTTAGATTAGTAAGCACTGTCACATCGTTCAATCCCTCAATTTAATCATAATTTTTGTCGTCTAAGTCCAGGGCTATTCGTTTTTAAGAAAACTTGGAGACAAATATGTGGTTTTCTAATGATTCATTACATTTTTTTCCTTTTGTTTTTGCACAGGGCTAGTGACACTTTATCCATTGTAAGATTCTATAATTTTTGTTTTACAATTATTTTGATATAGAATTAATTTAGATACCTAATTCAATATAGTAAGTGATTAGTTGTGAGTTTTAATGTTATATATAACTCACTTTTTTAATTCAATGATTATAGTGAATTATGTTCAACTAGCATTAATGTTATCATTGAACAAAAAACAGAGTCAACAATAACTCCTATGTTGTTTAAAAAGTATCGTGATTTGATAAATAAATTCATAAATATAATAGATAGATAAATATATTTGCAAAATACCCTACCCTTATAATTGATTTGAGCTTTTATATGATTTGCAAATAGCAATCTATTGATCAAAAAGGCTAATGATTAGATCTTAGTGTCAGAATACATCCATTTGATAAAATAGGAGAGAGATGAAAAAATCAAATCAAATTTTTACATATTTGAAAAGGAAATAAATTCTCAATGGAAGAAAGAGAGTAACGGAGAGAGACAGAGAGAAAATAGGGGAGAGAGATAGAGAGAAAATAGGTAGAGGAAAAAAAATAGGGGAGAGATAGAGTAACGAGGGGAGATAGAGAAAAAATTAGGGAGGAGTGTAAGTATACTGGATGGAGAGAGAGAGAGAGAATAGCATTGTGAGAAATAAGGAGGGAGAGAGAGTGAAAGAATAAGAATGATGTATAATTTAAGGAATGGTAAGTAAGTAAAATAAATAAAAGATTATTTGAATTTTATTTCTAATCACAAAATATTTTATTAAAATTAAATTTAATAGAACGAACCACTTATTCATACACTTCGTCTTATAAATAGAACTCAGATAAGGGTTGTGCTTGTCAAGTGTACCTCCCTGAATGGTGTACGTAGAATTAGTAGGAAACTTTGCTGATGCTTCAGGAATCCAGGCCATGCAGTCATCTCCGAGAACAATAATGTTAGACTGATCAAATTTTGGGATTAAATTTAGAGTTTAAATGATATGACAATTGACTTGGACTTCTTTAATTGATATCATGTCATTTGAGTCCCAATAAAAATTTAAAATAATCAATTGTCATGTCATTTGGGTTCTATATTTAGTTCTAAAATTTGATTAGTATAACATTATTCATATGAGAAACAGGGGCAGCTTAATGTTTAGAATGATTTACTCTATTTAGCCACGTGATAATATCTGAAAAAATGATACATGATTATTTTTAAAAAAAATATTAATATACTGTTTGGTTAGGAAATATTTAAATATAAATTAAATATTTTATATACCAAATTAAAAAAAATTATATATTAAAGATTAAACTGACAAAACACAAATACTTAAAAAGGTAAAAAAAAATGTTATTAGCCCTATTCAACAATGTTGGCTAGGCAAAAAAAGACAAATCAGAATAGAACAACACAATTCTCCTGCCCACTTGCTGATGTGGGGACAACTCCATACGACTAACTCCGCCATCCTCCACAGATTGCCGTATAGAACCACCCAAATCTGCCGCCCTCTTCCTGATCTCGTCTCCTTCGGTTGACGCCATCAATTTTTTAACAACCCTTTCCACCGATGATGAGGTCACAATCTCATGTCTGCAAGCCCAATCCTTCACCACCAGACCCGCTCTCAGCACCTTCGTCATCAGCAGAGCATTGCCTGGTTGGTCTGAATGCATTGGCCAGGTTGCTATTGGCACTCCGAAACTCATACTCTCCATGCATGAATTCCACCCACAATGACTCATGAAACCACCTGTTGAAGGATGACCCAGAATCTCCAATTGAGGTGCCCAGTCTCTCACCACTATTCCTCTTCCTGACACTATCTCTTCGTACCCTTTTGGAAGTTCAGCTTTTCTAGCCTCTCCTTCAAATATATCTCCTTTATCTGCATCTCTCAACACCCAGATGAATTTTTGCCCGCTTTGTTCTAATCCGATTGCAAGCTCTTTGATTTGATCATCAGATAATGAAGTGGTGGTTCCAAATGATACAAAAATCACAGATTTTGGAAGCTGTTAGTCAAGCCACTTCAAGCATGGGTGGCGGGTACTGGAATTTTTGTTCTTCTTCCATATCTCTACTGGATTAAATGGCCCAATAGCCCATTTCTTCTTAGTTCTATCAGTTTGGTTCTCTGCAAGTATGTCAAGTTATGGATCTTCTATTATTTTGCAGGTGTTGTAAAGAGTTCCAGAGTTGAAATTCTTGTGCTCTTGTTGTGTTTGACTAAATTCAATGAGCTGTGATGTTACACAGCTTCCCATTGATGGAGCCTCTTTTTGTATATCTTGTCCAATTGAGACAGGTCTTCCCAATACCGGAGGAACAAGCAAGAAGAAAAAGGAGAGACACTATGGAAACTATAGGACTCCGTGTTCGATATTGAAGGGATGTCTTGGACAAGTGACGCCATCAGAGAGTCGTGAATGACGACGACTCTTTTAGTTGTAGTTGAGAGAGCGTTTAGAAGTGTGGCAACAGGATCACGAAGTTTCGATGATGCATAAAGTAATGGCACAATATGCGATGGGAAGGAGACGTTGGGGTCTTGAGGGGGAGAGAGAAAGGAGAGGGATGGAAATTCATGGAAATGGATGTTGTTGACGGAGAGAGGATCCCAACCATGGACACGCAGCTTGGCTTGGCGGGTGTGGGTGGTGGTTCCGACATAGTGGACTGGTATACCATAAGACGAGATGAGACGAGAAAGGTGGAGAAGCTGGTTGAGATGGCCTTGAGCTGGTATCGGCACCATTACCAGTGCTATTTGTGTTTCTTTTAGGCTATTTTGGCCATGATTGTGGTGGTGGGGGTTATGGTTGTCCATCGGGAAGGAATGGGTACTTAATGAGGTTTGATTGTGTTTCAATTTGGTGATTTGGGCTTTATAAGACACTTGCAATGCAAATCGTTGTCAACTTTCTCAAATTAACGTATTTATAATATGTTTGATGATTATAATTAATATGTATAAAAGAACTACCATGATGTTTCCGTTGTTATTACAAAGTACCAATTTTATTCCACTAGTAAACACATCTCGGTAATTTAGAATTTAAGATGGAAATGACTTGGGATTATAATTATGTGAAGTTGAATCTCTTAAGAGATGACCTGATTTAGTAGATACGATTAATTTTTAGGTTATTGTGTGTATCCAAAATTCATGTTGTGGCTACTAGTACAACAAATCAATGGTTGAGATAATTATTTATTAGTGCAATATAAAAAAAATTACAATAAAATAGTACTAATAACGACCACGTCTCATAATACATCTCAAATTTTCTCCTATCTAATTTATTCGTTATATCATACTGGTGGGGGGGGGGGGGGGGGTTTGAAATTGTGTGATGTCATTGCTTACTTTAGGGAATACTTGCTGTTCTTGAACTTGGTTTTTCCTTCAATTTGGCTTGCCGTATAGGGAGGAATTCAGCAACAATTAGGAACGTTGCACAAACGTTGTCGATAGTCTTTAACTTGAACATTTGATTGTCATATGGTAAAAGAATGGACTATTGCATTTGTTTATTCTGGATACATTGACCATTGAAGATTTTTCTAGATTACAACCATGATTACAGTACAGATAATAAATAGACACATGCATCATTTTGGATGGTGTGTCTTACACAGCTGAACAGAGGCGGATTGTTTAGGGGATAGAAAATCACTGAAATCCCAATCAGAATTTCTAGACTTTCGGAGATTAGACAATATAATTTAAAGAACAACATACAGAAGATTTTTATAAGTATTGAAGTTAAGAGTCTCTCAAGGTAAATGTTTGGGTTCCAAAAGATTACATTTATTTCTGAGTTGACGTTACAACCACTAATTCAAAAGACGTCTAACTATACGTGAACAAAAATCACTTCTATAAATATTTCATTTTATTTCCATGTGTGAAGGATTAGATTATTGCCTTTTTTTTAATATTCCATTCTTTAAACATTGAAGAATTTTTAAGAGATTGGTGAGATTAAGAATTTTTATTATTTTTCCCCCATAGTAAAAAGTTTCAATCTTGAATGTAAACTATATAGGAGAGGGATGTTTTTGTATCTGCTTGTGAAGATTCAAGGATGTTGGCTAGGCAAAAAGAGACAAATCACTATAGAAGTAGAACCACATAATTCTACAGCCCACTTGCTGATGTGGGGACAAACAAATCTATCTAGCGATGTGACTAATAAAAGAATCCAACTCCATACGAGTAACTCCGCCGTGTTCCACAGATTGCCGAATAGAACCACCCAAATCTACGGCCGTCTTCCTAATCTCGCCTCCTTCGGTTGACGCCATCAACTTTTTAACAGCATTTTCCACCATTAATGACGTCACAATCTCATGTCTGCAAGCCCAATCCTTCACCGCCAGACCCACTTTAAGCACCTTTGTTATCAGCAGAGCATTGGCTGGTTGGTCTGAATGCATTGGCCAGGTTGCTATTGGCACTCCCATGCTCATACTCTCCATGCATGAATTCCACCCACAATGACTCATGAAACCACCTGTTGACGGATGCCCCAGAATCTCCAATTGTGGTGCCCAGTCTCTCACCACTATTCCTCTTCCTGCCACTCTCTCTTCGTACCCTTTTGGCAGTTCAGCTTTTCTAACTTCTCCTGCAAATATATCTCCTTTATCTGCATCTCGCAACACCCAGATGAAGTTTTGCCCGCTTTGTTCTAATCCAATTGCAAGCTCTTTGATTTGTTCGTCAGACAATGAAGTGGTGGTTCCAAAAGATACAAAAATCACAGATTTTGGAACCTGTTTGTCAAGCCACTCCAAGCATGAATGACGCCTATTTGAACCTTCGTCCTTCGATATTTCAACCGGATGGAATGGCCCTATAGCCCATTGCTTCTTAGTTCCAATAATCTGGTCCTCTGCTAGCATATCGAGGTACGGATCTTCTATTGATTTGGATGTGTTGTAAAGAGATCCAGAGTTGAATCTCCCGTGCTGTTCTTGTGTTTGTAAAAATTCCATAAACTCCGATGTCACACAACTTTCGAGAGATGGAGCCTCTTTTAATATTTCCGGTTCAATTGGGATAGGTTTTCCCGTTTCCCAGTGGAACAAGGAGATGAAAAAAGCTGATACGCTTTCAGAACTGTAAGACTCGGCGTTCGGTATTGAAGGGACGTCTTGCACGACGGAAGCCATTAGAGAGTCATGAATGACGACGACTCTTTTACTTGTATTTGATAGTGAGCGTAGAAGTGTACCAACAGGCTCGCGAAGCCTCAATGATGCATAAAATAATGGCAAAATATGTGATGGGAAGGAGACATTAGGGTTGGGCGGGGGAGAGAGAAAAGAAGGGGTTGGAAATTCATGGAAATGGATGTTTGTGGCGGCGAGAGGATCCCATCCGTGGATGCGCAGCTTGGCCTGGCGGCTGTGGGTGGTGGTTCCGACGTAGTGGACGGGAATACCGTAGGATGAGATGAGACGGGAAAGGTGGAGAAGCTGATTGAGGTGGCCTTGAGCTGGTAGTGGCACCATTACCACAACTATTTTGTGGCTTTCTCTTCGGTCATTCTGGTTATGGTTATGGTTGTGGTGGTGGTGGTTTTCCATTGAAAAGGTTTAAAGTACTCAATGAGGTTGGGGTATGTTTCCAATATGAGGTTTGGGTTTATAAGCAAAACCGTGTACTCTTTGGGGGAGTTGTCTGTGGTATTAGAAAAAAAAAATTATTAGCATGCATTTATTTATCATATTTGTAGATGAATTTTCAACGGTCTAAGAATCGGAAATAATCAAATGCAATAATCTAATCCTTGACCAAAAGGAACTCAAACGGAATCTTCCTTTGTCACCGTCGTTCGAATAAAATTTCACGTCAAGTTAAATATACTACCCATTGTTGTCGGGCAACGTTGTCAATTGTTTTTAAAGTTTAGATAAGTTCAAGATCATCAGTTTCCACAGAAGCCTCTATTCTCTAATGTCTACATACCACGGCTTGACTTTATATTTCTTTATCTTTTGATATGATCAAAGAGAAAAAATATAGAACATAACGCACCCCATGAGATACTAATATTTATTATTTAATATCAACGATGAAAAAAGTTGACAACCATTTCATATGGAAATAGCCATCAATTTGCAAATTGCTCCCAAAGAAGGAGTTGACTACGGTATTGAATTTTTTTTTTTTGTTTTATACTTCAAACTTTTATTACTTTAATAAGTGTTTTTATAATTTTTGTTGGTCATTTTATAACTAAAAAATTTTTGTAAATTTTTTTTTCACAATTGTAAAAATTATTTTTACTATTTTTTAGTACAAATTGTTTTTCATTTTTGTCAGTAATTTATCACATTTGTGAGTATTTTTATCACTGTAATAGATATTTTTATCACTGTAATAATTATTTTTATTATATATAATAGTAAAAACTATTATAAGAATTTTTTTTAAGTAGCGTTTGTTTTTATATTAATATTTTTTTTATTTTTGCTTTTATTTTTTTTTTCATATCAAAACTTACTCGATTCTTGCAACCTTAATCACATATTGGGATGTGATGGTAGCTGGACTATCAAGAGAAAAATAAATTTTTTATACACAAACTGTAAACAAATTATTTACAGACAACCAATCAAAATTTGATAATTACATTAAGAATGTTTGTGTAACTGTCATATTTTAATTGATTGCCGGTAAAAAATCATTTTTCCTATCTAAAATGTTGATGGATAGATCAATGAGATTTATTTATTTATTTGGTTAGGAACTATTGATCTAACCTTTAACTTTTATTTAGTAAATTTTTTGGTCAACTTTTTTTATAAATATCACTTTCTGGGCCGCATTTGGTTTATTTGTTTTTATAAACACCAATGTTACTTGGACAAAATTTATTAACTTAATTATTCGGAAAAATTCTATTCACAGCTGCTCTAGTTAGGTCTAAATTCAATAACACCCTCTCCTAATTCTGAAACTTCACTGCACTTGCTTCTGATTTATACTTTCAAATTAAAGACACCCCTTTAATGATAATTTTTAACTTTGCCAATATAAAAAGTAAGGGTTTGACTATAAAGTTTCAAAACAAAATAAAAACTATCATTCCTTATATAAATATAGTAAAATGCCTTCAATCTTTTTTCCACTATATATACCATATCATTTGTTGTTGCTAAAGTTCAAAAACGATCTAGTTTTGTTGGAAGACATAGGGAATTGAAGCCAACTATTCTTCTTCAATTCGTTCTCTATAGTGATTGATCATTATCTAAGTTGGGTTTTTTTTTTTTTTTTTTTTTTTACAGATTTGTAAATGTTTTTTGTGCAGATTTTTAAAAAAAATTTCATGCAATTTTTTAAATTTTTTTCATACAAATAGTTTTAATTTTTTTCATCCAAATTTTTTAAAAAATTTTAGTAGTTTTTTTTTTTAATTTTTTTCATTCAGATATTTTTAATTTTTTTCTTTTACAAATTTAAAATTTTTTCATGCAATTTTTTTTAAATTTTGTACATGCACGTTTTTTAATTTTTTTTTTCCATATTTTGTTATGTCAATATGTTCTGATGTATTATTATAGAATTGATGTCTTCTTCAATTGTTGGTGGAGATAAAAACATAGGAGATGAGGAGGTTGACATAAGCGTGATTCTTATCACTATACTATCCCAATGAATTTTTATCATTTTAAAGCATTGCATGATAACTTTGTTATAATATTAGTAATTATATTATCACTCATTTAGTAAAATAATTGAGTTTTTATAATTTTTATAGTTAAAAATAATTTTTTTATAATAAAAATTATAATCGATAAAGTCTATGTCAAAATCTTATTTATTTCTAACTCTTCTGTTATCAACTATCCTCCACAACCTCACCTGACCACTCTTCATACATCACCCTTCATATATAAAATTAAAATATTATTTGAAATAATTGAATAAATTTGGTCTTCATTTGATAATTTAAATATTAATTTGGTGTTAATTTAATATTTATATTCAGTGTTGATTTGATAAAATTTAAATAATGCTTTAAGAAAATTGAATGTTCATTTGGTATTAAATTAAATAGCTGACATTAATTTGATAAGGTTAAATGTTAAATTAATAAAATTTAATATTCTATTTAATATATATTAAATTTTTATTTAATAAAATTAAATGTCAATTTGTAGTGGATTTGATGAAATTAAATAATAATTTAATGTTAAATTAAACAAATAATATTAATTTGATGAAATAAAATATTAAATTAATATAACTAAATGCTAATTTGATAAAATTAAATATCAATTTGTGTTGATATGATGAGATGAAATTTTAATTTAGTTTAAAAATGACATTAATTTGATAAAATTAAATAATAAATTGATGAACCTAAAGGTTAATATAATAGAATTAAAAGGGAGTGTATTGAAATTTCATAATCATGAGAGGATATTGTTAAAGATATGTCTATTTATAGGGGGTATCGTTGAAGTTATGTCTATTTGTAAAGAGTGTGAATTAAATTTGCCCTATAAAATATTTATGAATTTTTCTATAAATTAACAATTGTCGTTAACACCGTAACTCGACAAATACTGACAGGGGGTGACCATGAAGTTTCAGAAACGGGAAGAGGTGTTATTGAATTTAAACCTAATTTTAAGGGGTGTGGATAAAAGTTTTCCTAATTATTTATAGTCATTAATTATTGATAAAAATTTATTGACTTTACTTTAATTATTGCAATAACAACCTTTGTCATGTAAAAATAGTGGGGTTCACCGATCCTATTTATTAATTTATAATTGATTTGTGACATTACGTGACATTTATGATGTGGTATTACCATTGTATCCAATATTTACTCCAAACTAAGCATATCATTAATTGTAATGACTGCCCTTTCCAACTTATTTAATATATTTTTTCCATAATTATGAAGTGTTTCAATCATGTGATATTTGAATTAGTTGAAATTAATATGTAAATACGAAATACATGTAATCACCTATAGTTTATGTGTATTGAATGCACCATTTTTGTGAGATTTGAGTTTGAAATTTTCATATATTAACTACTTAAATACCATCATCACAGAATAGGTAATCTCTTTTGTATCTATTATTTTGATTCTTAACATTACCTATTTATATAACTTTCTCTTTAAGAAACCTCGTATAGGCATATTCTATAACGACTCAACTATGAGTGATATATAAATTGTTGTGAGTCCACCTAATCATCACAAAACACAACAGGAAAGATAGGAGGAGAAACCCTAAAGACACCAGAAGCTCCCATGATAATATTAAATTGAATTTTAGATATGATTTCCTAAAATTCAACACTAATTGAATCATTCAACTCAGATTGGATTTTTGCTTTTTAACTCATTTTGAAAGTTGAATATGAAAAAGTAATTTGTCAGATGTTTGGATTAGAGTTTTTAAATTAAATTCAGAATTCCATCATTCAGAACTCAATTCCCTAACAAGCCTATTTAGAAGGGCTGTCTTATAACAGGGACATGCGGTGATCTTAAGGTAATCTCTTCTAACCCTTTCTTTCATGATTTTTATCGATAATCTTGATGGAGACACGTTATTAATAATGTATAAAAAGAGTAATCTAGTGCAAGAACTCATCCCTTGGAATTTTAGATCGTTAAATCTGATAACTTAAATTAGTATATCTAAATTACGATTCATTGAAAGGTAAGTCTAGTGCAATCAACCGTGTGTAGGGCCATGTGTCGTGCCCCACTAAGTGGGAGGATGTGACAGTCACTAGAGCACCTTGGGTGTGTTTGGATTATCGATAAGGACAACAATGAATTAAATTTGTTGTATCTTAATCTATCCCATTCAAATTCACTCAAGCACTTAATTGAATGAGTTATGTATGACATTCAACCCAAACCATTGTTTTGCAAGGAACAATTGAATTGAATGGACTCTACCTTGAGTTTTATAGAGATTAACTACTGTACCCTTTGTTAATTTTTTTTAAGCTCCCATAATATGAAGAACAGATCTGAGCTTTTCATTCCCAAAAAAAAATTGGTGCTTCGTGTTCCCCCATAAAAATAGATGAAGAACAAATTTGTGGTTTCAATTCCAAAAAAAAATAAAATTTGGTGCTTCAGGCTCACCCATAAAACTAGATGAAGAATAAATTCGAGGTTTTAATTCCCAAAAAAATAAATTTGGTACTTTGTGTTCACCCATAAAACCAGATTAAGAACAGATTTGAGGTTTCAAAAAAAAAAAAAAAAATTTGGTGCTTCGTGTTCACCCATAAAACTAGATGAAGAACATATCTGAAGTTTTAATTCCAAAAAAAAAAAAAAAAATTGTTGCTTCGTGTTCACCAATAAAACCAGATGAAGAATAGATCATAGGTTTCAATTCCAAAAAAAAAATGGTGATTCATTTTCACCCATAAAACCAGATGAAGAATAGATCTGGGAGGATGCAGAAGGTTTGACGACCACACAGTGCTGCTACAACCCTCTTCTTCGTCGCCGTGC